TACGATAAAAGTGCACTGCTAACGGCCTGATGTAAAGTCTTATCTGTATGGTGACTTTAACGTAGCGTTGGTGATGGGGTTGATGTATATCATACGCTGGTGTTGCTGGTATATTTGCATAAGTGAGTTAGTGTGGTGCTGACGCTGCCGTATGTGTGTGGTAATACTTCAAATGCTGCAGTGTTATTGTTATAAGCATGTGGCATAATGATTATAGTGCTGTTGTGTTTGTCTCATTTTTTTTTCTTTTTTTTACTCTTTTCTGGTGAAGAGAGGACATTATAGGGTTTAAATTACACAGGATATGTATACATTATTTTCTCTCTAAAAGGAGACACAGGGAATCTAGTCTACCCTCCATCCTGCTAAGTATTGATTGCTGACAACATGGCCCTTGTCCTAGTAGGTTAATGCAGTTCTTGTCACACTTTCCTTTGTACATTGTTGAAAGTAATCCGAGATGTGTTCTTATTGTGATAGATGAGATGGTTAGTCTTTTTTTTATTATTATTAGGAGGAAGCTCACTATACGTACACACTTTACTTTGGATATTGTTGGAAATACTTTGAGAATAGTTTGTATGTTTTTTTTTTGTTTTTTGTTTGATTGTGGTATACTTTTTTTCTTATTTTTTCCCATGTGGTAGTAAGAAATAAACATAATACTCCTTTGTTCAATACAGTGTCTCTTTTTCAATACGACGTTCACTTTGATCTTTGAACGTGTGTTTTCGAAGAGCACTATGATATCGTATCCCAAAATCCATGAAGTTTGGTAATGAAAGACTCGTGTATGAAAAGTAGGTTTTATTTTGAGAATTGGTTAATGACATTTACAAAGACAGTTACAAAGACTAGATTATCCATATCTGAGATCTTAAAAGCTAATAGAACATATACATTTACACATAAATACATTATCATACACCTGGTTTTCTCTCTCTCATTCTCTCTCTCTCTCTCTCTCTCTCTCTCTCTCTCTCTCTCTCTCTCTCTGTTAATAGAATCTCTTATCGTTTTGATCATATTTTGATTCGATCGTCAAAACATATATTCATCTTTTTAGTTTATCCTAACTCATTTTGAGATATACATAGATTCGCCAGTGTTTACACGCTGAAAAATACACATCATACATTTTCAGCTTGACACACATATATACAAATGGGGGATGGGCAGGGGGGTGGGGTGGGGGGTGACACTGAAGAAATACTAATAAAAAGATAAAGAGCCTATTATATAGGCTTACCTGACTAGGTTTTCTTTTCGTATTATTTTTGGACAAGATACAAGATAATTATCAAAGAAAACGGAGAAGTGAGCTGTTACTTTGAGCACCATTGATATTCTGCCCAAACCCGAGGACGTCTGAAGTGACGAGAGAAAAATGCTTGATGATGAGAGAAGTAAAATATAAAAAAAAGGTAAAAATAGAAAGGGGGTGGATGATAAGAAAAGCAAAAATAAAGATAAAATAGGAGGGGGCGGAAAGGAAAAAATGTAAAAAAATAATAAAAAATAAAACGAAATAAAAAATAAAAAAATAATGTGGGGGCGAAGAGGAGAAAGTGATCTAAAATGATAAATGAAAAAAGACAAAGAGGAGGTTCAGAAATGGAAGAAAAAAAAATGCAGAGTCACAGAGAGAAATAAAATGGAAAAACTTTACATTTCTCCGGAAAACTTTAGGTTCATTAATTCATCAAAGATTTTAGGCTTACAAGCTACCGAATATGCAGATATTTTTTCCTAAGGTACAGTAAAAGCCTTTTTCTTCTCTTTTCTCTAAATAAACAAAAAATGTGGAGTATTTTGTATATATTTTTTCCTTTCCAAGAAAAAAAAACAGAAAATTGAATTTCGTCCCACAACCGCGTATACGTCGGTAGTCCTCGGGTTCAGAACGCGGAAAATTTCTCTAACCGACCTCCTCTGTATCAGTTAATTTGCATATCTATATTGAAACAATTAACTGATAAGACGTGCTTCCATTTTTTTCTCTCTCTCTTTTTAAAGGATATATATATATATATATATATATATATATATATATATATATATATATATATATATATATCTTTTTACACGCTGTTGTAGTCTAATTGGTGTTTTCTATTTTTATAGAGAGATGAATATAAAAATGAGACATGGGAAAAGGAAAAAAAAATCTATATAAAAGTAGAAATGTCTTAATGAATAATATAGTTTGATTTTGATAAAAGGTCCTAATCCTGATATAATTTTTTTTTAATCATATACCAAGAAGCCAATGACTATTGATAATGATAAAGAGTTTCTAATGAAATGAATCTTGAGAAAGCCTAAAGTGC